TTCCATCTTATGGCTTGCCTCCCCAGCTATGATCTCTGCTAGCTAGTTTTTTCTCAAACAGGTCTCTCCATGTAGTGGTCGACGGAGTTTCATCTGACTCTCTTATCATAAATGCTGGTGTTCCGCAAGGATCAATTCTAGCACCAACACACAATTTCGCGGATGATAGTACCCTCCATACCGTCTTCTCTTCCAGGGCTCCAATACCAGCCAAGCAAATCAGAAACGAACGAGGGAGACAACATAAATATGGACTTGGCAACAATTCTCGAATGGGGATCCAATAACTTGGTAGATTTCAATGCAAACAAAACACAAGCATGCCTTTTCTCTAGAAAAGCCGATCTCACCTCACTGTGCCCAACATCAGCTTGTCAGTGTTAACCATATCTTTGAAGACATCCATGTTGATGCTTGTTATTACTATCAGCAATAACCTTTCTTGGGAAAATCACGTGAGATCAATTGCTAGAAGTGCATCCCAAAAACTTGGTTTTCTGTTTCGGGCCAGGAGCTATTTCACTTCCAGTCAGCTGCTTATGATCTATAGGGCATAGATCCGACCTGTCCTGGAATACTGATCCCATATATTTGGAGTGCAGCACCCAAACATATTCTGAAACTGTTGGATTCTATCCAAAAAAGGGCAATTCGTCTCGTGGGTGACGCCTCGCTCACAAACTCACTCACTTCTCTGGAACACCGTAGAAAAGTTGGCGATCTGGCTCTATTTTATAGATATTTTCATGGACGATGCTCTTCCGAAATATCAACAATTGTTCCTCCCTTGGCAGTGCCCGCGAGATTAACCCGTCGAGTTGAGGCTTCGCACCCCTTCGTGGTCACTTTGGAGACCTGCAGAACATCTCTTTCCAAAGACTCGTTTATCCAACGAACAGCGAGGCTCTGGAACACATTGCCAAGGAAGGTGTTCCCCAAGGCAAAGAACCTCCAGTAATTTAAGAAGAACACCAATTCCTACCTTACTCCCCGTGGTTCTCACAATGTTCTCTGAACATTATAGGATATCCCTCTTCGTGGGAACCAGAACATGAAAAAAAGTCCTCTTACCCATCTATTAGTATGCGTCTTCTCAACATACAGTGATCATTTAGTTTTTACCTGATTCCGAAAAAATTCTACTGGGAATATTGTGTTGGGACATCCTGTACTTGTATGATAAATGGTATTTTCGCCATTTGCTGGCTCCATTATCGTCAAACGATCTCGTTTTGCTTAGCCATCTAGTCAATTTATTACCAGCGAAGCGTGTTCTGAATAGGGTGTATGTTCAACTCGCATCCAATCAAATTCCAAACGAATGTATCGCTGAGAATAACCTACTTTTCGCTAACCCGATTAAAGGAAACGAGAGTACAAGCCAAAGTTCCCGCCATTTTGAAACTTCCCCCTAACATTGTTATACCTACACAAACAAAAGACTCCGATTTGCGAGTGATAATTGGATAAGGGATCAGTTTCTTTGTTACCTACCTACATTTCTGAAATATAATCGATTCAAAATGAACAATGTCTGCTTGAAACAACCCAGCGAGCACAAAAACATCTCAGAGATGTTAAAAGTACGAGATTTTGAGACATTGAACCTCCACTGCGATGTTCTGTTCACACATGAATAGAACTATTATAGAACAGCCAATGTCCGCCGCAGGCGGCAATTATCGAGTCACAAAACTACCTTCTCCCTAGTTCTTTTTAAAGCCTTTTCATGGACACAACAAAACATTTTCAACGCGTCTTGCGCACATTAAATCGCTGTAAAAAAACATTTTCGAGGTACTTTTCTGAAGCCTTTTGTCAAAATGAACTTTTGCATTAGGATTCCATTTCCCTTGAATGAAAAAATGCATTAAAAATAGATTGAACATAAAAATATTTTCTTGATAGGATATTACAATAACTTTGGTGTTTAATTGAATCAGTGTTGATTCTAATAGTCTGGTATTGAAATATACACCATCATTTTTCTTAGAGTGAATAGGTACTTAACCACAAAAGATCAGACACTTATGTCAGCGTAACCAAAAACAAACTTCGTATAGGTCGCGTGCAAGAACTGTCAGATGACCGATCCTGGAGGCAAAACATATTTGTTTACAAGTGATCGAAATAGTTTTCCACAATTATTTTGGCATATGAATCGTATTTTTCCGCTATTCATCAATTCGCTAATGCCATCACATTGTGCTGTTGTAAATTGCACAAAAACTGTAGCAGAAGATGAAGAAATCCGGATGGTACATTATGATTCAAAAGTAAGTACCTACTATAGTCACTCACATAGATTTCATTTTTGAAATTTGGTTATTTCTCTGATTTCTCATCGGAATTCCTTCTGCAATAGGATCAGCTAATAGAAATATACCTGAAATTTCTAGAATAATGCAAGAAGATTGGATTCATGCAATCAATCGGTAGGACTGGTCTGACATGCTGACGATCCTGTGTGTTGTAGACATTTTCAATCTATTAGCAGCATTAGCTTGTATTGCAGAAGTTGCAGAAGGCAGAAGGAATTGTAATAAGGAATTACAACATTTCATAATGCTAACTATGTGAGATTACTATTTATCTGAAAAATCATATTCCCTAGTCCCTTGCTGCATTTTTTGTGCATTGTACAACAGCACAATGCGAAGGCATGCTTGAATTAATGAATAACGCAAGAAACACGATTCGTATGCCAAAATATTGTGAAAAACTATTTCAACCTTTTGATTCCTCTGTAACCAAATAAAAAAGTGAGGTTGTGTTTCAATAATTCACAGAAGAATGAGGTTGTGTTTCAATATTTTGCCTCCAGGGTTGGTCTTCGTGGTGCACGCGACCTATATTAACGGGAGTCCTAACAAATACAGGTTCTGTGGGATATAGGAGGAAACCTGTATCCACTTACTTACAAAATCAGTCACCTCACAGAACCCAAAGACAAGTAACCTCGGAGAACACATACTAAAGGAAGAGGAGCTACTCTACCTAGAACCACCACAAGTTTCGAGTGATATAAGGCTACAGAAATTGCTATAGCTACGGAAAACAACCTTATTGGGTATAGCAAAAGAGAAGGCACTATGTAGAGTAGATCTTTTAGGTCGCAGTGTATTCACCGGTTACAATTTAGATAATTCATCAATCAATCCCAGAGGTGAAATATACATACTTGGGAAATCGGGAATTTATGGAATTAGTTTTGATTATTGTGGCAAAACATATGTAGGTCACACCAAGAGACTTATTAGAGTTAGGTTCAACGAACATCTTGCACATTTGAAATAGAGGTAGCGGAATAAAATCATATTCACTGTTGAAATGTGAATACTCTTCTATATATTCACATTTTTCCTATGAAAGTACGCAATTAATTTTTACAATGAAGTCTTGGAAACACAGCTTGGTCGGTATTTATTTTGGAGCAGCAAACTATTATTTGTCATTTTTTAATCTCATCTTAAATTTATACAAACACATTCATTGTCTTGTCCAATAAAGAGAAGCGGTGAATTAAAATTGAAGCGAGGCGATTACAAAACGTCCTTGGGTTGGGTTTCAAGGACCGACATTGAGGAATATTTTCCTCATCAGATCCACTCTCATATACTAAAAAAATCCATTTATCACCACAATACAAAATTGAAGGGAAATTTTGAGCTTATAATAGGTGAACACTCGCTTCATCGGTGATTCCAGAGTCTAGACTTTCAATTTTTGAACAAATGAGGATCTAACTTTGGACACCTCGTACCGTGAAACGGGTTGAATGGAAACAAGTATGGACCATTTATCTAGAAAAACCACAAATTCCTCAAATACCATTCTAGAAACTTCAAATCCTATCTTGATTATGCATTGCATATATGTGACAACATAAATTCATCGAATTTTACTGATTTTTCATTGGCTAAACCGTTTTTCCGTTATTTAAGTCGAACATACCATCTTTACACCTGTGCAATGCTGAATCAACTTTATATATGTACTGAGGTGAGAAAAAATCAAGATATAATCTAGGAAATTGGTCCAGACATAGTCATTAACCTAATTGCATTCGAAATTCTAATATATTGAGTAGTTTTTATCACCTATATTTTTTTGTGACCTTGACCTTGACTGTGACTTTTTTCAAAACTCTGCTACATGCCCTTTCTAATAATCGTGACACAAATTTTCCATATTGTTCTTCCTCATAAATGTGAATATCAACTCCGCAACACAGTCTGAGGAGTCGAAAGCTGTTTCTATTGTTTCTACAGTATATAATAGTATATTATGTAACAAGTGTTATAAACGTCCTTTTAGTAACGAGTATTTAGAACTAGAAGAGATTATAAACGCGTTACATTCTATGCATTTTCTACGAACTCCGTAAATTACATTAACATACCTGCTCTTCCTGCTAACCTACAAAATAATTCGATAGGAATGGGAATTGAGAACATAATACATGCAACTGCATGCAACCAGCGAGACACGTATAAGTGATATTGGTTGTGAAGATGTGACCAGTCCATTGCTTACTAACCTTTGTTTCACGTTTATTGTCGCAGAAATGCGCAGAATAAATAAATTGTACTCAAAGATGGATGCTTCATCTTTACACTTCTTGGAGATATGCAAGTACCAGAACATTCTCTTCGATTTCACTTTCGTCTACATTTCGTATATATTTTTAATGAAGAATTCTGATACAAACGAATATTGTTTGAATAATTCTGATACAAAAATTTGAAAAAAACTGTTGACAGTTGATACAATTGACAGGCCAGACATGTCTCAAATTACTGAAGCTGTGTTTAATGAACTGTGTTGCCATGGTAATGTGTTTAAGAAATCGTGTTGCCATGGTAACGTGTTTAATATTTTGAATAAATCACAGATCGTTAATCCGTGATTAATCGATCGTTTAGCGTGGTACATATCCGTACGCTAAATGCCATTTTAGTTATGTGAGTAGAAAAAAACATGTATGTTTCATTTTCCAGGACACAGTATGGCCCCAGATAACCGGTACACCTCAGGGAGAAGACTTGTACTGTCGATCCTGTTCCTATGTGCTGTTTGTCTTCAAATTACCAGTGGTAAGTTAAGTAATTCACAATTATATAATATTCTCCGTTTCGAGTAATCAAAATTCATCGCTTGATGCCAAAAAAGATAATATTCCTCCATGAAACGACTCGTAGCGTCTAGCCCCTCTCTGATATCCTTTAATGCCTTCAGACATCACCATTTAACAGCCATAAAGCTTGATCGAAAAGGCGGGTTACTCTTTTTGCTCAACTCACCCCTTTTCACGCATCCCTCTAGCCTGAGGGTAGCGACTTCTAGCACTTCTTCCCCTGTTTCGTCTTCCTATGCTCTCTATCAGTCCTTCTAGTCTCCATTAAGAAATGTCGGAAGCTAGAGATACTGATGATCTTATTATTGATTTCATGCACGAATGGGGTGAAACTTGAAACAACACTGAGAGAATGATGGATGAAGAACGAGTTGATTCAGTATCGACTCTTTGATTACTGCTCGATCTTATTCTATAGAACAAGCTGACCCGGCAATATAAATTATGTTGTCGAATCACGTGTGCTGTGTGAAATTCTAGAAATTAAATTGACTAACTATGGTGAGAGTGGAAGATATCTACCGCTATCTCTTTTCAGGCAATTAATTTCTATAGCTTCTAGCTAGTATCAGAATCGATCTACGATATGGCAGGGTTCCAAATTGTTTACCATATATCCCCTTGACCTATTCCTTAGTTTGTGAGATCTCGTCGCAGCTTCGATATTTTTATTATCCTTTCAGACCAGAACCGGTAAACTTTCAGGCAGTAAACAAAAATCATCTATACCTCTTTCCTCTGCTCTTCTCCACTTGAACATGATTTCATTCCAAGTAAACGTCTATGAATATTATACTCGTACAGAATTAATTTTTGTGAAGCTGAACAGGACCACTTTGCAGTCAAGGCCTGAAGATTCAGAACATGGTTGGACGATCTCACATACCGTTATCCTTCCGCTTAGTTTTTTTCTGGATACGCCTATGGTTGCTATCGGCGGTAGGATCAGGGCAAAAGGAAAAATTATTAATAGTATACGAGATATTTCTCGATTTCATCTCGGCGTTCTCATTCGTTCGTATGGAATGAGCTCCGTTCAACTGGAAATAGATGTTAAGTCGTCGAGATTACGAATCTCAATAACGATGATTGGAGGATCGAAAACGTGGAGGTTTTCATATTGTTTCATTCGGGAGGGTATCGATTTTCTGATATGGATGCTGGAAGAGTTAATTTTAATCTCCCCACATCACAACGAGATCTATCTGTGGCTTGGAACAGCATTCCCATCGTTGTTCTACTAGAGTAGTGTTAACTATATTCAACCCTACAATGCATGATTTTCTTGTTTTTGTTGAAATAGTTATTTATGCCATAAGTTCATTTTATTTTAAAATTATCAAGCTACTTGAAGTTTGAGAATGCCCTGTCGGGGTATTCTGTGATCTGTAGATCATGACATTTTAATAGAAACTATAATTATGGAGTACAAGGCATAGCAAACAAATGGATAGAAACTTTTCTGATGAATCGCCAGCAGTATGTCAGTATTACAAACATCAGTAATAACATCAAACGTGATATAAAATCCCCAGCAGTTGACATTTCCCTTGGTGTACCACAGGGATCAGTGTTGGGACCGATTCTATTTCTTTGATATATAAATGACTTGAACATAAGACAATGAACTATCTATCTATATATCTATCTGTCTGTCTTGACTGATGGGATCGTATTTTCTCGAAACGTATCTGGTATCCTGGGGTATGTCAGCACCCGGAAATATTCAAGAAATATAAATTTTCTTTCTATGTCTTTCCTGAGGAATCGCCAGCAGTATGTCAGTATTACAAACAGTAGTAATAACATCAAACGTGATATAAAATCCCCAGCAGTTGACATTTCCCTTGGTGTACCACAGGGATCAGTGTTGGGACCGATTCTATTTCTTTTATTTATAAATGACTTGAACATAAGACAATAAACTATCTATCTATCTATCTGTCTGTCTTAACTGATGGGATCGTATTTTCTCGAAACGAAAGAAATATTCAAGGAATATAATTTGTCTTTCTATGTCTGGTCGTAGAAGTCGTTGGTAAAGTTTGGCAGACTGATTACGGGACACCCTGTATATGTCTGGAAATGTTATGAAAATGACTATGTACATTTTCAATCTCTGACAATGTCTAATCTATTGTACAATAGAAAATAAGACAATAATAAACGATGAATCTATCTATTTTAACTGATGGGATCGTGTTTTCTCCAAACTCAACTGGTATCCTGGGGTATTCCAGCATCCCATTTTATATTAAGTGATGAATACAATGAAAAACCTATATCTTCTCAAACATTTTGTTATTTTGTAAAAATATCTGATAGATAGTAGTTAAAACTAAGAGAGCATGACTACCAGCATAGGGAAATACATGCTTTAATCTTAACTGGAACGCGGCCTGTGTTCTAGCGGGGAAGCGGGGTAGCGGGAGCGCGATGGTGTGACATCATCAGTGACAGGGTGTTTGAGTTGAATAAAAATTGAAAATTATATATACAGGGTGTCCCACGGTTAGACCACCCCACTTTAGGGGTAAATATTGAAGGATTGGGGAGTGTGGGTACTCTGAGAGAAGGATTTTTCGCGAACATTCCAAAAATGTCAACTTGCCTATATGCAAAGTCCCAAGGTTTACAAGATATCGCTCTAAATGCGTTGGAAATATCATATGAAATAGTCTCTTTGGATATGACATAGTAGAGCTAGTTTCGATTTTTTTCCCAGCGTCAAAAGAAAATATGAATGAGTATTGAAGTTGAATTGAAACAAATAACAGGAAATTACTGATAAGAAGATATTATAATAGAAAAACAAGTTTATCATTTGAAAGAAAAAACAAATTTTACAAGAAATGGGAAAAAAACAATCTCTTATCAGAAGACAACATATTATGTGAGAAACATTATGTTTTCATTCTACCACCTTGATATATAACAGCGGAGCGCTCTGACAAAATTCAGTCAACGTTCGACATCCACATAAATCAACACCTATAGCCACATCTAATAGCAATCTTGTGTAGTGCCAACTGCTGATACCTAATAAAAGTAAGTTTTTTTTTTTTCTTTATATTCACCTGGTAATGCAATTTCTTTAAGTAATTTTTTTGTTTTTATTTCTAAGAGCGAATAATATTGTATGATATGTTTTCTTTAATAATTATTTCATTGTTGATGTACATATCATAATTCATTTCGATGTTTTTCATATTGAAAAGTGAATGTCATTGTGTGTTTTCATCGATTCATTTCTTCGTGTACACATCATAATTCACTCATTCTATTTCAAACATTTGAAATGAAGAGATTTTCACTGATGTTGTTTGATTTCTGATTTTTAGGTATCACATTACAGTTAGACAGTCACATAAAATCAACACCTAGTCACATCTGATAGCAATCTTGTGTAGTGCCAAAACTGCCGATATCTGAGAAAGTGAGTTTTTTTTTTTTCTTAATATTCACTAAAGCATGATCCTGATGTTTGATGCAATTTCCGTAATTCACTTTTTTTTGTTTTTATTTCTAAAAGTGAATACTATTGCTTGATATCTTCATTTTTTGTGTGTACATTTCATAATTCATTTCAATGTTTTTCATATTGAAAAGTGAATGACATTTCGCGTTTTCATCGATTCATTTTTTCGTGTACACATCATAATTCAACCATTTAAAATGAAAAGACCAGTTCCACAATCTTTTCTTTTTAGATGGATCTGAATGCAATCAATAATGTTGGGCTGTCATGCAACAGGAAAGTGTTGAGGAAACTGAGCCAACTGCCCCTAGATGTACCACACCCCATTGTCGGAGTGCAAATTAAACTGGGAAAATACGGAGAAGCACCACTCGTTGAGTTGGACGATTGTAAGGTGTTTCTACCAGGCAGAGCGACCCAAGCCATCAAACCTGCGGTGGAGCAGTTTATCCAAAACAAGTACGCCCTCATCTACAAGGGACGAAAAAACTGCGGCCAACTCCATCCCATCGAGCAGTTTGAGATTGTCGAAACAACACCTCAATCACCAACATCATAAGCTATTGAGAATCAGAGTGTGAGTCATTTTACTTTGTCACTTTTCGCAAGATACATTTGTAAAGATGAATATCGCTAAACAATCAGATAACTTAGTGATAGCCATTAGGAAACTAAAGAAAATTTTGTTTGATAATTTCACTGATAGGGATGAAAAAATTTGGTTAAATCGCTTAAAGAGGTACATAAGATTATGTAACAATGAAATTAATAAGAATAAGATGTCCATAGGCTTGATGAGAAAGTTTCAAACGAATGTTGGTCATTTTAAGCATTTTCGCAATTTAATTCGAAATAGACATCGAGACAGTAGAGGGCTTGAGTTGAAAAATAGGGTTCAATGGAGAGATGTGGCATCAGGTTTTTCAAGTAGAATCAGAACGGGAATAATCATCAATATAACACATAAGGACTTGGAGCAATTTTTTATAGATGCATTCATTTTATTCAAAAATAAAATCAAAAATATATTGAAGGGATTTCCAATTATTAAAGTGAACGCTAATTTCTGTGGAGAATTCATAAAGAAATCAGATGATGCAGAAATTATCGAATTGAAATATTTCAACACTAAAAATGCCATTGTGGACGTAGGAACGGATTTACAACATTGGTACTATGATAATGTTCAGGATAAAATTTTGAATAAATTAAGTGAATTTCAAGAACGTGACTCTGGGTGGGCTTTGCATAAAATAATATCAATGGAAGTTAATATTAACAAACTTGAAATGGGAAATGGTTCATCCTTTATTAGACTGCCAGAACAAATTTCTAAAAAGCGAGCATGTTTGAATATAAAAAATACTGACTCGGCATGTTTTTATTGGTCAATCATAAGTGCCTTCTACCCAGCGAAAACACATAGGGAACGGACTTCTTCATATCCATATTACACTACAGTTCTGAAAACAGTAGATTTA